CAGACTGTAGATCACCAGTCTTTAACACTCCTGGCAACAACAAGAAATCAAGCGTGATCCTGAGAATTCAGATAAATGCAACAAATGAGGATCGAATTGTCCCAATCAAAGGTGAGGTCGCTGATTCGGCAAGTCTCTCTCCATGGCTGATTCTCACCTGCCTATCATCACTTTCCTTTGAGAGATGCTTCTGAGCCATATCACATTTTGAAATCTGATGATCAGCCTCCAGAATGCTGCAAGAGGGGGTTTTTTGTGTGCTGCTGAAGTTCAATCGGACTCACTAAGTGACTCAGCTTAGGAAGAATAGTTGGCAGTGCATCTGTAGTTTGTACTGGTTGCTGCCATCCTTAGCAGGAGGCCTACCAAAGGCTGAGTTGTTCTTTCTTTGTCTTGTTGTGTTTTAACCCGGCAGTCATCTCAGCACCATGGTGCTGTTTGCTATCGCCTCCCACAGTAGAGTGGGGGGGAGAGAAGTAGAAAAATGGTGAAACTCATGGATTGTTATAAAGACAGTTTAATAGGACATAGAAGGAAAAGGAGATAATAACAATGATAATAATGACAGAAGAATATGCAAGACAAGTGACGCACAAAACAATTGATCACCATGTTTTCACTCTGCTCACTCGGTTCCTCAGCAGTGGCAACTCCTTAGCCAGCTCCTCCAGTTTTATTGTTCCCCATGACCCTGTATGATATGGGACATTCCTTTGGCCAGTTTGGGTCAGCTGTCCTGGCTCTGTCCCTCCATCTCCATGTGCATTCCCAGCCTCATGCTGGCAGTACAGCACCGGAAGCTGGAATGTCCTTACAGCTTAGCGTAAGCCCAGTTCAAGAACTTAAGTACGGTTGGGTTAGCAACATTATTTCCAACCAAAATGCAAAACATAGCAGTGAACCTGCTACCAGAAAGAAAGTTAACTCTATCCTAGCCAAAAAACAGTTTAGCTTTCACCACCTGCAAGGAAAAAAAAAAGTTTACTTCCTCTGTTCATAAAACAAAAAAAAACTGCAAAGGATGTTGAACTTTCAACTTTATTAAAGAAGAAGAACTTCCAAATGCGGATTATTTGCCTTGGAAGAACATGGACTTAAGGTGACACTGTAAACCTCTGCGAGAAAATATGGCGTTTGCTTTATCTGCATCACATGACATAATGTATTATTTGATCTCTAGTGGAGAAACAGCATTTAAAAACAAACAAACAAACAAAAAAACCCAAAAAACCTTCTTCCAGGGGAAATAGTCATTGTTTCATGCTTTAAAAGCGAAGATACTGCCTTATTGATGTCAAAGTCTGCAGAGAGAGAGAATTTCAGCTCTAATGGACCTGAAAGTACTCTGGCTTTGCAAGGTGTACTCTTTGGTCAGGCAGGATGACACGCTGTTCTCAAGGTGAAACTTGCATGATACAATATTTGCTGCTTGGGGTTTTAACAGCTCCAACAGCGTTCTTGGAGGGTAACAAGATTTTCTGGAAGTGAGCCACTCTAGAACACTATTGCCAGCATGTCTGCCTACTCTGGGTAGCATCAGAAGCTGTGCTAAAAAATTAAACAAACATAGTTCTTGTCATCTAAACAGATGGGAAAGGACATGCTGACTCCCATGTCTTTAAAGAAAGAGGTAGGCTGTGTCTCATTGTTGCCACTGTGCAGTGAGGAATTGCAAAACACCCACGTAGATTTTTTCAGACCTGCTAGCTGCACTTAACCTTTAATCCTGCAAGTACTCAGCCATGAGCATATAATTTCAAACATCTGAGTAGTCCGACTGACTCCAGTGGGAATGTGCACTGAATGAAGTTAAACATTTGCATAAACGTTTGCAGGTTCAGGATCTTTCACTACAAACACAATTCTTTCACTACAAACACAAACTCAGTCAGGCTGAGTATTCAGCTCAAGCTCTCTATGTATTAATAAACCTTTATCCCTGCAGATGTATTTTACATTTCTTGTTAATATGTGGTTTCTCTGTTATAACACGTCTTACATCAGGCTAATGAGTAACCATTTTCTTGAGAGGGAGGGAATAATATACCTTCTGACATAACTGCGTGACTTTGAAAAAATATAATCTGAAATGAATCTGTTATGAACATTAGCTTCTGTATATCAAAAAGATTCAGGCAGCTTGGTCAGAATTTGGGCTTTTAAAAGTGTTTAAAACCTATTTTCTGGGTTTTAGACCTGATCTTTACTCCCATCTTTCCAGGGGCAAGACTGTGTGTGTGAGTAAGGGATTGATTTGCTTATTTCTAGAGGGGAGGACTGCTTTCCGTTCTCACTGATGGAGTATTCATTTACCTCCAGGTAGGTCATTTCACTCCAGAAAAGGATGAGCAATGTTTGTGGTCTTTAGTTACAAGCAGGTGAATGCTAACACCCTGAATTAGCCTCTGATCCTACTTGTGTCTGTTTCTATACCTGCTCTCAAATGTATGTGGTGAAATAACCCCTGGTTTACACCCTAGCTAAGGAGAGCAGGATTTGGCCCATTGAATCTAGGTGCTGCATTACGGATCAAAGAAAAAGTTTTGATGAATCCTTCTGCGAATTTCACCCCTATTTGTACTTTCACATGATTGATCTCCCTTTTGTTTAAAGCACTGTGGTTGATACAGAAGCATTTGAATTCAGTGAATCATTCTAGCAATGCTGCTCTTAAAATATGCTAATATTTTCTTTGAAATGTGCTAGAAAAAATCAGTTTTAAATGTTTTACATTTTTTTTTCTCCTATTCCTTGCTTTAATTGAAGGTTGCCTTTTTTTGTGTGTGTGCGTGTCTGACTTGACTTGCTGACTAAACACGTTAGGACTTTTGAGGCAAAGAGGTATGTGCATGCAAATGTGTCGTAATACAACAGGCAGCTTTTCCTAGAGTTAAAGCTATATCATATTTTCCATCCTAAACCTCTATGTTTCCTGTGGTCACTGAAATAAAAGTGCTTCAGAAGGAAATCTTCTGGCTTTGGGCTTTTTCCAAATGTGAATAATTTGGAAGGATTTGAACAGAACTGGTTCAGCCAGTTCAGAATATCAGGAGAGTGGGGGGGAAGGAGGGAAGAGGCAAGAAAAAGGGGTGGGTTTTTTTTTTTTTTTTTTTTTTTTTTTTTTTTAGCTAAATAGATCCTTACAGCATTTCTTGAGCATTTCTGCAACTTTATCAGCAGAAGGCTGAGAAGTGAACTCTGACATGTAAGTAGCCTTCCTTTAAGTAGATGTGCCTTTGCTTGTTCAAGAGGAAATTAGTTTTGATTTGCCTGAGTTATAAGGCTTTGAAAACTGTGATTGAGCATGTGCAGTGGATTATTTCAGTAAGCTTGTGGAGTGTGCAGCTACAGAAGGATTTTCTGTACATGCATGGCTGGCTAATTTTGCTGGAAAGGGAAAAATCTATCTAAGCACATTGCTAAAATCAGTGAAAATACCTGAGGCTTCAGGAGGACCTTTGAAGGCTGTCTCAACATCTTTTAGACTATGAAAAGGGCAAGAAAAGATTCCGTAGGCTTTGCAAGGCATTTGAAGAGTAAGTGGCCTGCAGAATGTGTAAGGTTAAATGGGATTATGGCTCCAGAATTGATTACTTGACATATCCATGTGTGAAGTTTTCTCTGCAGGGCCATAGAAGGAACAGTGTTCTCCCCCCCCAGCACATCTGCCTGGCGAAGGAGTCCGCACAGCAGTAGGAAAGCTGCTTCGCCATCTCACCTCCAGCTGACAGAGCTGGAGTTTATCAGCACGTTGACAACCCTGGACTGTTGAGACTGCTCGAAATTATACTGGAAACATTGGTAATGAGAATTTAGCCTTTGGAGTGGTGTGTATGTGTGTGCCTTTTTAGATGCAGGTTTTTACAGTTACGGTGCTCACTTGCATCTAACACTCTTTGGATAAATAAAAAAATCCCATCCTGAACATGTGTGTGTCTCCTGGCAGCCCATACTCTCCAGTGTACCTCACTTCAAGGGATGCCAGCTGTTTGATTCCAAAATTTGCGTTCTGCACAAATTGATGCCTCTCTCTATCTCCCTTCAAACACAAGAATCATAGAATGGCCTGGCTTGAAAAGGACTTCAAAGATCATCTAATTTCAATCCCCCTGCCTGCAGGGTTGCCAACCACTACACCAGGCTGCCCAGAGCCGCATCGAGAATCACAATGTTGAGTTTATTTGAAAGAGTCATTTGTTCAGAAGAAAGAAGTGATGTTATTTTATGCTTCCTATGGGAATTACTCAGCTTTGATTTCTTCCTCTGACTTTTCATCCATCCCTCCCCTCCCGTGGGACTGTGGCAGGCAGGAGAGCACACCAGGTGACTTCTGCCTGGGCAGTTCCAGGCCAGACATGGCTCTCTGGAGAGGCAAGTGAGCATCTGTGCCATTTCTTTGGACTGCTCTCTCTTTTCCCTTTAACACAGCAGACTTAGCACCGAGCCCCTGCTGCACCCTGGTATGACTCGCAGTCCAGAGGGTCTCTGCGGCCGTCCGTGCAAACGCACCGGCAGAAGTCTGATAGTGGCACGAACAGACGAAGCAGAGAAAAGCGGTGTCGGGCCCAAATGGGCGGTGATAAAGCCACCCGTTGAGAAAACATAGTGAGGCAACGGAGAAAACCTTTAAACTTAGAATTGCAGCCCTGAGCCGCCCCTTTCCGAGGCGTAGCGAGGACCACCGGCCCACCGCCCGCCTAAGGGGCCTCGAGAGCAGGAGGAGCGGAGCAGCGAGCATCCCGCCGCCGCCGCCTGGGTCTCTCCGACGGCCGCCAGGCGCGGCGCGCGTCTCTGAACTCGCGGGGGGGCGGCGGCGGCGGCCCGGCGTGCTGCAACCATGGCGATGCCGACGGCCCCGCCCTTCCCCGCCCCCCGCGGGGCCGGGCGGCGCGGGATTGGTCGGGGGGCGGGCGCTCGCCCTCTGCCCCCTGACCCTGCGCGGCGGCGGTGGCGGCGGGCGCGGCGGCTGCTGCTGCTGGCCGTTTCCTGGTGGCCTGGCGGCGGCGCGGGGGACGATGCGGCGCAGGTCCCGGCTGCTCCTCTGCTTCGCCTTCCTCTGGGTTCTGGGCATCGCTTACTACATGTACTCGGGCGGCAGCGCCGCGCTGGCCGGCGGCGGCGGCGGCAGGAAGGTGAGCGCGAGGCGCCGTGCCCGGCTGCGAGCCCCCGGCGGGCTGCGGGGCGCCCTCGGCGTGTGCGGGGGGGCGCCCTTCCGCGCCGCTCCTCCCCACCCTTTCCCCTTTATTTTTATGTTTCTCCTCCCGCCTCCAGCGCGTTCCACGGGGCGGGCGGCTGCTCGGTGGACTTCAGACTGGCTCCCGCCCAACCGCGCTGAGCCACGTCGCGGGCCGGGGGCAGTGGGGCGGCACGGGGCGTCGTTCCCACCCTGGGCATCTCCTCCTTACGTGGGGTTCTCCTGCCCTCCGGAGAGCCGGGCTGATCGTGGGCCGGGGCTGCGTCGGGCTTTCTCCGCTCGTCGTGTTTTATTTTATTTGTTTTAATGGTCCTTTCCCCTTGGTATTGTTCTGGGAGAGCGTTTGGAGGTGCTTTGGTGGTCCGTCGTTGAGAGAAAGAGGGGGAAGTTGAACGCTCCGCCGTTCCCATCGGCGTGGGTCAGAGCGGTGCTATGGTAGGGCGAGGTGCGAGGCAGAGTCTTTCACCCCATAACTCTGCTTGGAATAATGAGTTGTGAATGCGTGGATTTGCATCTGCCTCCCCAAAGTCGGGAGCTTCCGCAAACCCTCCTGCTGCGATGGCCAAGCCTCTGGAAAGTGAGCTTTCTTGTAAAAGATTTCCCAGGCGAACCCAGAGTTGGGCAGAGGGTGAGGAGCAGAGCGCTCCGCGGCTGAGCCGTGCTGTTTGCTAAAAATGGCACTGCTGGCAGGTGAGCCAACTGGTGCTCCTCCAGCACAGCCACGGGGATCTCTGTACGGATACTTTGATGCAGTGCTGCTCGTCAGTGTGTGTGTTCCGGGCGAAGATCTTGACTGGTTCCTGTGCAAGCCATGGGAGCGGAGCTTGCATGCTGACTTATGGTGTTACTGAGGGGAACAGGGGTCTGGGGAGAGAACCGCTCTCAGGCTGCCTCAGTGCTCTATTGTGTCCTCGTCTTTGCCCCTTGTGTCTGCGGGACAGTGGCTGTTGACACAGCAGTATGTTGCAGTGTTAAGCATGTATCCTACATACAGGTTCTCAGAGCAGATACAGTAGCGGAAATAGATGAAGCATAAGATAAAAAGTAAGGCAGTACCCTGAAGCCTCTCTTGAGGAACCACCAGAGTGTGTTTAGAAACTAAAAGCAATCTTACGCTACTGCTGATGCATAATGGGATAAAGCAAAGCTATCAAAGGAGCATGTATCCACAGATAGAGAAATAGATTTTTTAACTCCCAGTATGTTTCATTTTGAGTTCCCAGTCAGATTTGTAGCTGAGCTCAATTCATTTTTACTGCTGGGGAAACGGCAGCATGGAGATGGTGATTTGCACAAGGTCACCTAGAAGACCAGGTGAGAATAAAACAGAAAAGAAACCAGTTTTTCTGAGAACAACTCTAGTGCTTAATCTACTAGAACCTGCTGCTATTCCTTACTGATGGTAGTATGACTTTCTATTATGGGTTGAAGAGATCTACAATCCCTGATGCTTGCTTCAGCCTTGTAACTTGTCATCATTCTGCTAGCAGTTTAATATACCTTACCAATATGGGTAATTGGAGAGTTTTAGCAAAGATGAGTTTAAAGTAAATGAGGTATTCTGTAAGCATGAGCTGAAGCTCTGTGTTGGGTTTAAAAATGTGAAAGCTTAAACTAAGCTTGTGGTAAGGAACAAAATAGGTACTATGGCCATGAGAAACAAGTGGGGAAATTAACAATTATGTGTGGATTGGTGATTGAGGATTCTATTTTCTGTCAGCGAAGCGTAAAATTTAATCCTGGGCCTCAGTGTAGGTTAGCAAATGTAAGTATGGGAAGATGTGTGTAATGTAATAGCTTTTGAATCTCGATAAAAGCCTTGTTGACTTAGTGTCAGACCCTGGTACAAAGCAACAGCACAAACTGCCTTAAACTTATGAACAGAAACCCCGCTGTAGTAAATTTCTTGGTTTGTATGACTTCACGTAGTTTTCATTGCTTTTCCACTATTTCAATGCAATGAAAACAGAGTTGGTTACAGAAGAGCATCGTTTCTTATAAATTGAAGTGTATGCCATGTTGAGGCTCTGAAATTACAGAAGCCAGAAGGGGATCATTCTTCATTTATGTGAATAAGTAATTTGCATGTTAATTACAGATCTAGTTAGACAAACAGAATGGTTTTTCCATAAGAATGATTTTTTTCCATATTCAGACCTGATGTATTATCTGGACACCCCGGACTTGTTTGGTATGACACTGTGCTGTGAAGACACAGTCAATTCCCATTTCCTTTAAAAGAGGTGAAAGTATTTGCCCTTTTCTGGCCTTACACCTGAGAAACAGAGAAGAATGCTTTGTTTTTTTTCTTAGTAGAGGTGTGTCAGAGTTGATGTAAGCTTCTACATATTTTGGTTCTTCACTTCTAACATTTCAAGCCATTTGGATGCTCCAGTGTGCAGTATCCTTGCCCAAGCATTCAGCCTCTGGGAGCAGTGGTGGGAGCCACAGCCCTGTATGCACTGCTCTGGCTAGGTAGACAGAAGGAGCTGACTGTGCACAAGTGGAGCTACAGCACACGAAGTAGAAGCCATCTCATTAATAAATATGTGGATAATAATAACACGCAGGAGAAATATTTCATGTTTTGGAACTAGGCACAAAGCAGTAGTAGGATGAAATTACTTCTTCCACTTCTGGAATTTAAGGTATGAGACCGCTTTTTCTTTTTTTCTTAAAAGGAAGAGAAGGGGCAAAGTTGAAGCTTTTCATTCAAATGTGCTTAGAGGTGGCAGAATCACTTCTCTTTCATATTCTTTTTAATCTCCAATGAGAGTGACTTTAAGCATGAGAACCAGGGGTTCAGCTTGCTCCTTGTCCAGCCAGGTCACTGAGTTGTAGATTGGAAAGAGCAAGTCTGTCTCACTTGTTTAATGGTTAGTGAAATAGTTCTACAGACAGAGTCTGTAACACAGAAGAAAGCAAGTCGCAAGCCCAGGAGTTGTGAGACTGAAAAATGTGGGTTGCTCTTGTGCTCACTTACTGTGCTTTTTATTAAACAGCCTTTGGAGTGGAGACTGGAACTTTCCTTCTTGTGGGCATATTTCTTAACCCACTGCAAATGTAGTTTGTGCTCTGTGTCCCAGAACAAAGTAGAGCAGCTTCTTCAATATGGTTAGAAATGATGCGTGCCCTCCCAAGCTGGAATCACCCTGGTGATATCCCCCAGTGATACTGCCCCAGTCTTCAAAGAGTGGTGTGAATCAAAATTGGTGTATTTGGAAATCATTTAACTTGTTTCGGGTTTTGTTTTGAGTCCCTTAACAACTAAGTTCTTCCACAAATGAGTGACGACTGGGTATGAAACAACAAAACAGCCTGTCCTTCCAAGCATTACAGCAGAAGGCCTGCTGAATGGAGCCCTTCAGGCAGGGTGAAGGAAAGCACCAAACACCTTATTGCTGCCAAGAGTGAAATCCTCATGGGCGTACCCTGGAGGAGACCTGTAAGCACTGAGTGTTGTGAGCGGAGGCATTGAGAGGAGATGCCTGCTAGGCAAAGCGGCAGCTAAGCCAATGTTTGGAGTCTTCTGGATTTAGGTACTAAAGCACTGACAAGCTTTGGCTTTTGTTGCTATGTGAAGGTGGTCTGGTTTTTTTTTTTTTTTTTTTTTTTTTTTTTTTTCTTTTAATATAGACCTCTTCCCCCTCCCTCACTGCTGTGCCTCCTCTCTTCCTCTTCATGCACTTTAGAGAAACAGAGTAAAACAGTTACTAGGCAATCAAAGCTGGATAATTTTTGCCATGTTTAAAATTAGAAGCCTCTTTTTCGTTATATTCCCTCCTCCAAAACCAAACAAAAATTAAAAAAAAAGAAAAAAGAAAAAAAAAAAAAGTGGAAAAAAACCCAGCTCTGAAACACTTTGGACTAAAGACCCATTAAGCCTCTGGCTTGCCAGATTTTCTGGGTGCGATAAAATGAGTTGCAGAAATTGGATTGATTTTAGCTGAGCCACAGGGAGGCAGACTGCTCCTGCAGAACTGGTTACAAACCAGTGCGTTGTGCTGCTCTGGGGTTTTTCCTTCAGTTCCCTGGGCTTGTGTGTTTTTGGGGCAGGGAGGAAGCAGTAGTGGTTTTTCTTTTTTTTTTTTTTTTTTTTTTTTTTTTTTTTTTTTT